GACATATATAATTTTAAGATTCTGTCAATGGAATTATCTGAAGAGTGATTACTTTTTCAACATTATTTGTTGTATTTTTGAATAAAAATTCATAGCCTAAAAAAAGTCTAGCTGTCAACCAATTACAATCGGATGATACAAATCGTTCACATGACATTCTTTCGATTAGATGTTGTGTAAAAGAAATTCAGATAATCTGAAAATCAATTGAATTATAAATAATGTTGAAAAAGTAATCACTCTTCAGATAATTCCATTGACAGAATCTTAAAATTATATATGTCTTAAGATGTTTGTTTTCTTTATAAATAACATGAAAATAGGACTACCTTAAAATAGTTGGCATATAAATTTTAAAACCGAGCAGAGTTTTGAAAATGAACCATCAATTCATTTAGTGGGAATAGAAACATGACTCCATGGTACCGATATTAATCCATGTGTGGACGGACCATCTTGTCCATGAACGATAAGTCAGTTAAAAATTAAAATTACAATTACAAGTACAACGCTCATTTATCTCTATTTCGCTTCACTTTCGGCGGCTATTGATCAACGTTCAATCACATTAAATGGATCATTAAACGATAAAATGGTAAGATTATTTCATATAATCGAGACGACTGATTTGTACCTCTTAAAATTAAATTTTCTTAAAGGCAGTTATTGTTCTCTATCAAATATGTTGTTCAAGATGATGTTCGAGTTTTAGTTGCTGAATCTTGTGTTATAGGATGCAGGCCGATTCAGTGCGAATGTGAATTGGAACGGAGCTTGGGGTGGTTTTGCACAGATCGATTTTGTAAGAGATGAAAAAGAGAAATGAGGAGAAATATCGAGTGACATTATTTGTATCGAAAAAATCAAATCAGATAATGAGACAGTAGTTAAATAAACGAAGACGTAATGGAACGATAAAAAGTAATTTGTATTTGGTGGTGATAACAGTGATTGTTGTTGGCTCGGTACAACAAGTATAATTAAGAAAGGAAAAACATACTTAATATCGAACGTCGTTAAACGTACACTGAATCAAAATATAATATTAATCTGGACGGGATTAAGCAGCTTAACCGATATGACACCAGATGTCACTACGATATATTTTGAAGGCAACGCTAATTATTTGTAACAAAGTCTAGTATTTTATAGGAACCGATATCAGTAGTCGAGGAGAAATTAAGTTTGGTTTACGATCAAGACGTGGAAGAGGATAAAACTGTCCAAATTTTAGTGAAGGTTGTAGCTCCGTTTAAACGAGCATCTATTTGTCCGAAACGTGAAAAGGAGCAGGAGTTGTCAGGTTTAGAAGAAGATGTACAATGCGTAGCTTGTAAAATGATTTTTCAATGTCGATTTATGAAATTGATAAATGATTGTCAGCTGACGTATATGAATACCAATAATAGAATTATTAAAACTTTCAAACTATTATGAATCTAATTTTTTTGGTCTTTATTTTTAAGAAACAAATGAGATGTCGTCCAGGCTTTTTGTCCGAAGGTACGATAAAGACAGTATTAAGTAATGAAATACGAAGTTATTTAAAAAAACATCGGATTCCGGACAAAAACTTGATTTAATTACGAATTCAAGTTTATTTACATTAAATTTTAATGCACGTTATGGGCAAGTTATTTCTTTGAAAAAGAGAGATACAAACGAACAGAACATGAAGAAAAAAACATAGTTAGTGTTCAAATTATTTGTCTGAAAATTTATTTTTTACTAACCTTAAAGACCTTAACCTGCCAGTTTTTCTGGCAGGTTGAAGTACACAACTTGTACTTTATGCCAAGCTATTTTTTAGAAAAGCTACAGTTCACTTTTTGAGATACAGAACTGTCAATATCGCTGTCAATGCACCTTCTGTGTGCATATAAAAATAGATATAAAGTAAGAAACGAAGAAAAGAACAGATTTTCTATTTTAATCATATGTATTGATATGAATAATATGCATTTATTATATGTCCAAAAGAAGCACTGCTCATCCGTCATTGTGCCAACTTCAGGAATTAAGATTAAATTAACTAGAGAGTACCCTTTTCCACTTCTTAGACAATTTGCTGCGAGTGGGCTAGAGTGAGTCAAATAGGAATCTATTAATACACGTTTTCCAAAATTCACTTGCATCGTTCTGTAATAAAGATACTTAGCAGAAAAAATGTTTATCATATTGAAAAAAACATAAAATTTTCGTATATGTTTATTGAATTGTGAAAAATATTCCATTGACAACGCTTATCGATTGTTGTCCATTAGCGAAAAAAGCTGTTATCCACCATTGTCCTCCATTTTTGGAAAATCTAACAGAAGGTTTCACCTTACAAAATACATCGTTTTGAGTTGGACAGTTTGCTTCTGTGGGGGAATATAGATTATTAATTCTGCCTCCCACATTCGGAATATCATAATCATTTACAAATAGACGATAAAAGACTGTGTCTGGTGTATTTGGCCATGAAAAATATGGTGTGTATGTATCAATGATTCCATCGGGAAATAATCTTGTTTTTCGTTCAATTGTAAATAATATTCCGTCAATAACTACTAATGGACGTTGTCCATTATTGAAATGTGCTGTTATCCACCACTGACCTCCATTCTCTGAGAATGGAACGAAAGGTTTCACCTTACAAAATACATCGTTTTTAGTTGGACAATTTGCTTCTGTGGGGGAATATAGATTATTAATTCTTCCTCCCACATTCGGAATATCATAATCATTCACCCATAGAAGGTAAGAGATTGTATTTTGCACACTGGGCCATGAAAAATGTGGTGTATATGTATGAATCACTCCGTTTGGATATGCCGATGTTGTTGTTGAAGTAAGCCGTGTTGTATGTCGTGTCGTTGACAGAAAAATAGAAGGTGTTGAAGTTAACGTTGATTGAGGTGGCCTAGTTAAAATTCCTGGTGTTGTTGACATCAATGTATTTGTTTTTAATTGTACGTACAATGGCACACTTTGATAGTTCTCATATATGATTTCACTATTCGACGTTAGATAACCTTGAATAAAAAATGTGATCAAATTCATGAGTGCTTTTGTTGTTGTATAATTTTTCAGTTTGTCTTTTATTGATACTGATATTGAATCTGTGATATTTTCTTCACCATTAAGCTGATAGGTTTTGAATGGATTGTTGACATCAGTGATATTTTCTGTATCAGCTAAACGTAAATGAATTCGATCAAATCTATGTCGACCATCAATAGTAAATAACGGTTAACCAAATGTCTGTGCGTTACCGTTTTTGTCGTTTTGTTCATTTATAGAATTTACGGAAACGATTATGAAAAGCTACAAGACATCTTATTTTGCAGCTAAAAGTAGGGGTGGCACTTTCCCGTTCCTTTCCAGAGTATCGGGGGATGTGGTATCTTTTATTTCAAAAGTAAAGAGTAAAGATATACATTATATCTTTACTCTTTTTTAACTAACTTGTTAATAAAAAAAAGAGGTAGGAAAGAGAAAGTGCTGCCCTAATTACATATATCTGAGAAAAATTTTCAAAATCAATTGGACACACAAGGTATCAAATGCAGGAATAAAAGAAAGAGTTAAGTTACTATCAGTAGTGCAAATTATGAAAAAACAACGATTACGTTGGTTCGGGCGTCTAATAAGAATGGATAGGGACAGACTCGCTAAACAGATATTACAAAGGGAACCACAAGGAGGAGAAACAAGAATGAGAAGACCACTAACATCATGGAGAGAAACAATTAGTAGGGATTTGGAGGAAATGAAATTGACCTATGATGAAACGATACAACTGGCAAGGAACAAAAAGGAATGGAATGCAGTTTTACTGCACCAAATGGTAACTGGTCAAATAGATAGATAGATAGAATTATTGATTCATTTAGTGATGTATTTTCAGATATTAAGATCAATGGCTGTTTCTTCCACTATGCACATTTGCTATGGAAAAAAATACACGAGATTGGTATCAGTCATTAATTTCTTCAAAAGAAAGATAGTGATAATATATCTGATGCTGAACGTAAGCAAGTTGATCATTGGTTTCTAGGAACTATTGGTTTAGCATTAATTCCAGTAGATATTGTTGAAAGCACATGGGTGGATATTATAGATTTACATACTCCAGATTATGCCGATGCAATTACATTTAACGATTACTTGGTTCAGACGTACGTTGATAGAGATGTTAGTTTATATAAGACTGGCACATGAAATATTTTATTTATTTGATGCTATATTAAATAATTTACCAATGAACAAACAATCACGTTGAAGGTTATAACAGCCGTTTAGAAAGTAATTTTCCATTGCACCTGCATATTTTTGAATTTTTTGAGTTATCATGTGATGAACATGTATATCAACATCATCAAGCTGAAGAATCAGATATTCAGGCGCGTAAAAGAAAAATACCTTATGAAGGCAGCCCCTTGTGAGAGCAACCCCTTGTGGGGCTAAAACGGTGAAACTGCTTTACGATAACTACTCCATACACTATTCCATACGAACTGGTGATAATACGTAGTTATACTAAAAAAACTAATGCCTAAATTTAGGTTATCATAGACAACTAAATGCACGCGTGCAAACGAATCCGAATCTCTGGAGTATAGATTAATGAAGTTCGTTCATCTGAAGAATCTGTTATGAGTCGTTATGAACAAGATCAAGCTCAAAAACGTACAACGAGACCAAGAAAAATCTATACAACCAATTTATGAATTTATAATTTAAATTACGATTGTTGATTCCTTATTAATTAAAAAGTGATCACTTTTTGGAAACGCAGATCAACGTGATTTTACTCGTTCTAGTTGACGACCACTTCTATACTAATTAGCTTAAATTTTTGTCGCATTTAGGAAACTACGACTTTTTTGGTTACTCATATTTGTTGTGAATAAATAAGACTGTACTTTGCCATTATTATAAGCTATAAAAAATTATTTTTCTGCATGTTTAATTAATTATAAAAATCTAATACGAGTATGTATACAAAGTTGGTCGGGACCGATTGAGAAAAAAATATTATGGAACAAATTGCGAGAGACGAATTTTGGACGAATTGAGACTAAACCCTCTCATCCTTTTCTAATTGTACAGGTTAAAATAATTTATGGCTCTAGACTATCGTAATTAGAAAGACCAACAACAGATAGTTATTTTTTGTTTTAGTTTTTTGAATTACATTCATTCGAATTGTTTCTAATCTTTTATGAATTTTCAATAATATTTACAACAAAAAACTGAAAAAAACTCAAAAGAATTTAAAAAATATTTAATATTTTTTATTTTAATAAATTTTGATCATACCTTAACAATATCAATGGTTGTTGCACATTTCTTGGATCTGTTGGTGTAGAATATGTTTTTTTTGATCCTACTAATCGAATAAGTGCATATCTAAACGTATAAGATATACAAAAATAAATAATAAAATTTGTTGCTGAATTTAATGTTATAAAAAAATCCGTTATTTCTCGAATAGCACGTTTTTTATAAGCTTCTTCAATATAACCCATATTCAATATTAATGATAATAAAGCATCAGGAAAATAAGATATAATAAAACAGAATATAATTATAATTAAACTAATTGTTAAACGATAAAATACTTCTTGTGAACTTTTTTGTTCTTTACTAAATATTCCATCTTTCATTCGACATAATAAATAAACAATTCTTGAATTTATATAAATAAGTAGAAGACTTGGTATTATGGCACGGATAATATCAATGGTCATTGAATATATTCGAAAATAATAACTTTTACCAAATGTTGTTAATTGTAATGATTGTACTTTTTCATTAGTTTCATTAGTTAAATTATTTACCTGATTTTTAACTAATTCATAACGCATTGATACTGGTAAACTAATTAAAAGACTAATGAATAAAATTGTAAAACAAATTTTTTTTGTATTCCTTTTAAAACACGTATCCAAAATTTTGCTTGTTTGGCAATTGCATAGTATATACCTTAAATGTAATAAATTTTATTTATTAACAACGATTATATTATATTATTTTTTTAATTTCTTAATTAAAAGATTCTATTTAGAAAAATTATAGACTCTATACGTTCAAATTGATTAAATTTAGATGAATATTACCTTTCAATGGCTAATGTTAATGTTAACCAAGCTGTACAAAGTGTAACACATTGATTAATATAATGACAATATCGATAAAGAATATGAAATAATTTTTTTCCAAATTCAGAATGTATAGATTGTATAATTAATACAAGAGAATAGAGTAAATCATTTGATAATTTAAATGTATCAGAAATAGTTAAAAAGAGTAAAAATTTTGTTGTAGAAAAACGTTTCATTGTATTTGATAAAAATATACAAATACATAAAATATTTCCAATGAGACCGGGTAAACAAACAATGGGAATTAAATAGAATGCGAATATATGTTGAACAATTTCAAATATATCTTTATCTTTATTATTATTTTTCAAAGAATCATTTGTTATTGATTGTGAACTCATTTTATTTTAATTTTAACACAAAATTTGTTTATTTACAATCTAAAAAATTAAAATAATAAAATAAACAAATAAACAACATTCTTCCATTTAGAAGACGTTATTTCATCATATGAATAAATCGTGACTCATTTTTTTTCTTTTTTGTCTACCATTATTTAAATATAAATATATATATGAATTGAAAGTTTTTCATCTTTTGTAATTGTTAGTAAACGCATACTTTTAAATGGCACTTTAAAAATTGAATTATTTATCAAAATGTAACTCATTTATTCGAGTATAAAATAAGAATTTTTTGTGCTAAAATATCCTCATCATAAAGTATTTATTAATGTACAAATACGAATATCTATTAAGTATATAAAAACTCGAGATATATTGATGTTGTCTACTCATTATAAAAGATAGAAAGAATTTCAGAATTTAGTTTTTATAAAAAAATAAAAAGTATAGAATTTCTTCATTATGACAACTGTTCATCTTTTCTCATCTTTTTCAACTATTAAATCAATAATAATAATTTCCATATTGTTCTACTAATAGAAGAAAGACTATTGACTATAGAATAAAGACACGCGTGTTTTTTCTTCTTCTTTTTCAAATTATATTGAGAAAAAAAAAATGATACTACAATTTCTCGAAACGTGTCTCAATCAAAAAACAATCCTCAACCTTTTTTCAGTGTGTTGACTGATGTTTTGTAACAGACTGTTGAATGATTGTATAAACAATAAAAATTTATGTTCAAACGTTTGATCAAAAACTGTTCGGTACTTCATGAAGATATATCTCAATTCATTGTAGAAAAAATGAATTTTTCATTTATCTCTCCTCCCCGCCCCGATCAGAAACGGATTTTAAGATCGTCGAACAATTCATATTATCGGGAGACTGATACAAATTTCTCAATAGAAAATGGAAGAATTGAAAACTAATTCTTTATATGAGAATTTACTTTCTTTTTGTTTTTCGAGTTCTCTAAAAGCTTGAAGAAAAAGACGTTTCTTCTTTTTTATCGTGTACTCACGAGGATAAAGTTAGAAGTTAGAAGTAAAAAGATAAAGTTAACTGCCGATGTTTAAACAAACTAACCTTTTTGTTTTTATATTCAGCTCCTTTACTGTGTTGATGTTAGATTCGAAAAACTAATTCATATAGGCTTGAGTAGCGAGCATCATTTCACTTTTGCTTTGTGCACTTCTAATGGTTTGAAAAAGCGTTACTTAAAACATAAGTTATTTTACTCAACATGTCAAGGATTAGGAATCAACAGAATGCTATGACGTCAGTATTTTTTTGAAATATTCTTCAACCTAATGAATAAAATACAAAAATGATAATTTTTCATGTTGATCAATTATAATTTGTATAAAATGGTAGCAATAGAATACTTTGTAAGCGGCGTAAGGCGCTCCGAATTAGAAAGTCGAGCACTATTTTATTTTCATTTCAAATATGCCTCATTCGTTAGAGAATTTCATGCTGATTAAGAATATGTTACTTTGAATTTTTTTAGTGCCTGCGCATTATCACTGACGAGGGAGGTTCACCAACTTATAAATCGTTTTCCAGTCAAAACCTAATTGACTATAGGTAATCAACCATGCTGATTCCGAATATCACCATGACTGCTGCTGCTAGGTCTTCAAAGATTGGTTTTATGGAAAACCAGGTCTTTAGAAACTTTAAAAAATAACCAAAACCTTTTCTTAATGCTGCATGATTGTAGCCCACACATTTCTGATTAAAATGAGACGTCCCCCAGCTCTACACGACCTTTCTTTGCAATATTATAGAATTTACAAATCCCTACATTAATTTCTGTAGCTTTGAGCTGACAATGAACATTTATGGCTTCTTGTAAATTCTATAATATTGCAAAAAAAGATCGTGTAGAGCTGGGGGGCGTCTCATTTTAATCAGAAATGTGCGGGCTACAATCATACAGCATTAAGAAAAGTTTTGGTTATTTTTTAAAGTTTCTAAAAACCTGGTTTTCCATAAAACCGATCTTTGAAGACCTAGCAGCAGCAGTCATGGTGATATTCGGAATCAGCTTACCCTTGATTACCTATAGTCAATTAGGTTTTGACTGGAAAACGATTTATAAGTTGGTGGACCTCCCTCGTGAGAAAAATGCCAAATACTGAGAGGGACCCTCTTTTTGAAAATTCTCTAACCTTTTTTCAAAAATGGTGTAACTCCGTTCCAAGTGCATTTGGAGTTTCACAAAGGTGTTTTTCTTGAGCAGTGTCTAAAACTAGATCTAGAAAAGTATATTTGAAGGTTCCAGATGAAACAATAACTTCTTGGCACGTCGCTTGTTATCTACACCTTTTGTCTGACGGTACTCATCTTGCAAGCCACGTGAAGCCTTTTGGTTAAGAGGTAGGGACAAGTTTTATAAGTCATTCGCTTTGCTTTTCAATTAGCGCTCGCTTTTTTCGTAATTTTTTTCCATCTCTGAGAAAGTAAATTTTTTCTGAATCAGGAGCGAAAAAAACAGAATTCTGCCCGTAATTCTCTATTTTCTCCATCAGAACTTATTTCTTATGCAATAAAAATATCATATACAGAGTTAGCGTCGAAAACCGATTTGAATGATATATGTTTTGAAAATTTTCGTTGATTTTCATTTTTCGGTGAAAATCTCAGTCATTTTTCGACGTGAAAATTCGGAAAAAATAAAGGTGGTCAGATAGGGTAAAAAAGTGTAAGGAGTTACATCATTTTTAAAAAAAGTTAGCAAATTTTCGAAAAGAGAGTCCCTCTCAGTATTTTGAATTTTTCTCGGTAATAACGTGCGCGCACTAAAAAAATTCAAAATAGCATATTCTTAATCAGCATGAAAGTCTTTATCGAATATTTGACGTGAAAATAAAATAGTGCTCGACGTTCGAATTTGGAGTGCCTTACGGCAAATATGTGATATATGAAACAAAAAGCGTCAAAATATATTTCATATAAACTGTGTTCTTTCGTGATCCATTCAACTCTTTCATCTCTATAGATAAATATCGTGCATTAAAAATATGTCTCATTTGTTAGACTGGCAACAAATACAGTACCATATTCTTTATGTTAAATCGTTGATCTTACCTATTCATTATATTGTTAATCCGGATGTCTATAAGAAACACGACATCGAATGAACTTACCGAAGTAGGTCAATTTATTTAGAAAAAAAGATTAGAATTTATTAGTATGCTGAAATTCGATGATATAAAACAATAATGAATATTGAAAAATGAAGACCTTATATTATATTAAAGAGCAAAAGACAGATGTTAAAGATGATGATGTATCGTAGTTAAATCTAATCATATGTTCAATTAAAAATAAAAATCCTATAAAAAAAAAGAAAGAAAATGATCGCAAGTGTCTATAAAATTAAATTATTGATTTTCTCTTTTCTCTTCCGAAACCCTTACTCTTAACTTCCTTTTCTTGTCAAAACTAAAGAAAAATTATTATTATTTTTCTTTTGTGTGTGTGTGTGTGTGAATAATATAGACATCATATACCAAAGAACAAAAATAAAAAAAAACTTTTATGTTAATTAGGTGATGTCCAAAAAATAGAAGAATAATGACATTAATCGATATTTAATGATTGTTAATCGGTTTTTCTTTATTCTTTTGAGAATTCTTCTTCAGATTACATCTACAGTGAAAATTGACTGTATTATCAGAGACTACAGAATAAAAACAACAAAAAAAAGTTTTTTTATTTTTATTTTGAACATCATACATACAAATTTTTTCATCACACACTCTAGATTTCATTTCATATTTAAAAAGGCAGACGTATAAAAATTCTAAGATCATTTCATACGATGTGACTTATCCAAAAAAGAAAAAAAAAAAAGAAAAGAAACTCCTAACATGAATTTCAAGAGAGATTTCTATTTTGTTTTTTCAAAATATACCTTAGGAATTTATTATTTTTTTTTTCTTGTTGTAAACGTTTCTTTTCTTTTTTGACACTTTTGACAGTCGTAATGCATACGCACACATAGACATCCATACATATATCATCAACTCAATACTTAAAAAATTAATTATAAAAATAGAATGAAAGAGGTCTCATCCTCTTAGTTGAGTACATTATCGATAGTCTTCGTATATATATATGAAAGTTGAATACAATATGATGTTCGAAATTATCATCTTAGAATACGCCTTTTTTTTTTTAAAAACAAAAGTATCTTAAAATGTTCATTCTAAATCATTGTTCCTCTATGACCATTTCGGAAAGGAAAGAAAAAGAATTGTTTCTGTTCTTAGCAAAAAAAAAAAAAGAAAAAAAAAACTCCTTTTATGTCATTGTGTGACAAGTATAATTTTTTGTTGAAATAAGAAGAAGAAATTTTGATATTGTCTTATGAAAAGTTTCAAATGACAATTATTTTTTATTTTGTTCATATGTTTTCTCAAATACCTAGTTTTTTTTTTTTTTATCTCATAGTAAAAATTTCGATCATACTTATCTAAAATACTTCATGAATAAATTTTAAAATGTTTAGAATTGAATAAATACTTTTATTAACGCATATTAATCGAGATTTTAATAAAAGAATTATCTCTAATCTAATAATTCACAGTGGAAAGATTCTTGTTCACTGTGTTCATCAAAAGAAAACGAAACAATAATAATTATAGATATTAGAATAAACAGTTACATACAGAGATTTTTTGTAAAAAAAGTATGTTTCTTTCTCTTGTCTAATTAATCAAGATTATTTGTCTTTGACTATTCATTCTAACATGACTTTTATATAACTAAAGTAGCTTAATTTGTTTGAATCTAACTTCTCTTGAAAATTATTCATTACGTTCAAATTTAATATAGATATCTTTTGCCTTTTTGATTATCATCAAAAATGTGAAAATAGTTATCAAATAGCTTTCATAAAAAAAAAACACATGAGAAAATAATTGATCTTAAATTACTATATCATTTATGAATTTTTTAAAAATTTTATGTCAAAATTGAGTTTT